TCGAAAATCCCAATGTTAGTCAAAATCTAATATCCAAAAGTACTAACATTAGTCAATCAAGTATTTCCAGAATTATCAAAAAGCACAACTTTTATTCTTATAAAATTCAGCTTTTCCAAGAACTTTATGGAAATGATTGTGAAAACCGAGCCGAGTTTTGCATGTGGGTGTTAGATAAAGTGGCAGAAAATGAAAAGTTTTTCGAAAATGTGTTATTTAGTGATGAATGTACTTCTCACAACAATGATCTCGTGAATAGACACAACTTTCATTATTATTCTGATACGAATCCGCGCGCATACAGTGTCATGAAAAATCAAAATAGGTGGTCAGTTAATGTGTGGGGTGGAATACTGGGCCAATATTTAATTTAACCCTATTTTTTTGAAGGACATCTAAATAGTTTGATGTTTCTCCAGTTTCTAATAAACCATCTCTCAATATTATTAGAAGAAGGCCTTTTCAATATTAGAATCAACATGTAGCTTCAATTGGATGGAGCTCCGCTTCATTATCAACTTTCAAAACAGGTGGATTGGCAGAAATGGGTTTCAAAATTGGCCCCCCAGATCTTCGGACTTAACTCCACTAGATTTCTTTTTGTGGGGTACCTAAAAGGAATTGTCTACCATACGCTTCCGACAACTTCACACGATTTGAAAACACGCATAAGAGACCCCTTTTAAAACTGTAACTCCGCAAATGTTGTCCAGAGTTAGCAGTGGTGTTGAAAAAATAATTTACAAGTGCCTGGAAATGGACGGTCAACATTTCGAACAATTGTTATAAATAATTTGCCTTTGTTTTATGTTATTGTTGATATGTTATTAAACCTTTTAATTAAAAAAACACCAAATGGTACACAGAACCATTATTTGGTGTGTTTTGTAAAAAGGCAAAAACTTAGTTATAAACATCCTAGTACCATTCGATAGGCAATTAAAAATTGCATTTCCTGGTAAGTTAAAAAATACGGTGTTGTATTTAAATTAATCAAGTTATAGCCACTTAAAGTTCTTATTTGATTAGTTTAAATTTGTGGACACCCTGTATAAAATGGTAAGTTTATTAT